ATGTTGGTTGTTCGTTCAAAAATGGCAAAAGTGCTTTAAAACTTTATTACAATGTGAAACTTGTTTCTGAATTGATTGTTTCTGAATGTAATTTCTGTCGTCAGGTAAATCTCACTGATTCCCATTCTCAGCCAGATAGCAAACTTATTATGTTGTATCAAGATCATCTCATTATTTTTTTTACGTATTTTCGAATAACAGTTTTTAATGGAACCCTTTCATTAATTTTTCAAAATAAAATTTGTATTTCTGAGGAATGAACACCTTTTCAATAATAACCTTATCGTAACAATTTTTTCATATTTTGCCTAAAGAGCATTTGTCATTCTATAGAATGCCTGGGTATTTATTATACACAATATCTAGGGAAAGTATGTAATAATTCTTATATTTCATATTTTGCCTAAAATCGTCCGGCATTGTATACATTGCCTATTCATTCTATAGAATGGTGGTGTTTCATACTTTGCCGGTAACATAGGTACTGTTTCAGATTCTGACAAAAAGAAATAGGAATCATGTCTGGTGAATGCTGCGGAATTAGGTAAACCAGAATGTCGTCATACAAGAGCAATACTTCTCTGCTGTGTTTGCCACGGCATTTTATCTTTATGGCTTGCCAAAGCGAGAAAACATTTTAACATAATAAATAGTACCGTGACTTTGCAGAGCTTATAATCAACAAGGTACTTTAATAAAATTCTTCATCTTAAAAAAAACCGGCGCTCAAAATCTTCCTGGTGGATTTTTGGGTTCAGAAGATGTGAGGCCAAGAAAATCCTTTGTATTTCCCCACTTTGATCTTTTGCTTCGCTTCTAAATCATAGTTGTGAAGCCATGTTTCGTATTTTATCACTAATCTTGAATCCGCACGGGTGTCCAGATTCTGCTCTCAACTAATCTTGAATAGAAATTTCTAACAGTGTTTATCATGGAAGATAGCTACCAAGAACTTTCGACGATGTTTGTTTACTTCTGGTGTTTACTATGGGTACCCATTTCACTCAGACCTTCGAGATCTGAGTTTTTATGCGAAATGTTTTCTACTGATCAATCAATGATGCCTATTTTCATAGGCAATGTAAGAAATTGTCATTTGCCTATTTTCCGTCATACATTCCTCAACTTTAGCAAACATTTCTTTAGTGGTCATATTCGTACTATAACTTGCCCTAGGATCATCTACGAGAAACTTTCTTCCGTATTTTTAAAACATAGCATTCTGCCTTTCGATGCTGAGAGAAGAAGGTGCTGCTATATTTAAGACTACAATCACGCATTCATCAATATTTGTCTGTATTTATGCCTTACCAACTCTTCAACCCAATAATTCGTAAATGGCACCTCACGATTTTATTTCTGGTCGAATATAACGAAGAATTTTATAATAGCTGAAAATTATTTTTTACTTTTCAATGCATTTAACTAAAACGGTTTTAATTAAAATTTATGTATGAACTAATTTAGGTGTTGAAGTAATGTAGATACATAAAGAAGTTATAATCATGGCCGACTTATTTAGCTCTTATTTCTTAATAAACAGATTATTAGCTTTCTTCAAGTGAACATTTTTGGTGCATCAGTGATAAACTGGCGAAAAGCTAACTCGTTGTTTGCCGTAGTAAGCGACGAGTCGAAAACAGAAATGTGACGCACTCAAGAGGAAAGCTTGGTTTAGAAGATTTAGATTGAGTTCATTTTGTCCCCGTTTGGCTGCTCTTAAATTTCGGCTAACAAATTTGAAAACATTTATGTCATAACCTTTATGCAAGAATCATATGGCATAGCTTATTTTTGAATTGATGTAGTTCAGAGCTATTTATTATAAGAAATTACTATTTTTAGGCTGGAAAGGGGAAATGATCACATTAAAATGGAGAGCTAAGGAACTATTACCTATATAAGTTAGAATTTTTATAAATATAAGTTAGAAAAAGTAAGAATTCTTATATACATACTTTTATATATTTGTGTGCGAATAAATACAAAGTAAACACACATCAAAACCTAATCCTACTGCGCGCTGAAAGCAGCAACAATTGGCTGCAGTAATGCAAAATAAATTAAAATAAATAATACGTTTAAAATTAATCCCATACGCTATTCGGTAAACCAGTAGCATAGAGGCAAACTGCAAGCAAAATGGGTCAAAACATGCCAAAACCAAAAATGAAAAATAAATATATTATATCTTTTGCTGCATCATCATCAAAGGATTGGTGCAACCGAAGAAGTAAACATATCGGCCTATTTCTAAACCAACAAAAACACAAAAGAAAAATAATCTCAGAAAAACAGCCAGAAAAATGTAATCTGTATTTATCAATTCAATCCCTACAGGCCAAAGCAGCCTGTAGCATCAAAGGCATAAACAAATATAAAAAAAGTATAAAAATATTATCTTTAGCAGACCGAATCAAACAAAAATGTAAAATAGAAGCAATCGAACATACAGTGTCTCACAAAAGTGATGGGACACTTGTGCTTTACAAAAGGAAACTGTAATAAAATAAATTAAAGAAACATGTAAACATTTTTTGTGGGTGTCTTTCATACTTAAATTCAGTAACAATTATTACATAACATACATTTTCTCAAAATATTAAAATATTAATTTAATAAAAATACAATTGTTCAGAACGGAGCAAAAAATGGCTCACATAAGTGATGGGGCATCATTAGATACTACTACGTACTGCAATAAAAATATTATTTGGAGTTTTTATTTTTACTCAAAAGCAATTGGCAGTAATTTATAAAATCGTCTGCAGTATTTCTCTCCAGTTTGTTTTGGAATTTTTGTGTTTTTTAGCTCTGTGCAGCCATGAATGCTAAACGAAAAGAAACTTTGCCTGAAGTTCGAAAATTAGTTATTAATTTGCATATTGAACTCTGAAAATCTATTATAGAAACTGCTGAAACAGTTAACTTGAGTCATTCAACAGTTTTCAATATCATTAAACGATATAAAAATAATCATATGATTCAGGATAAAAGAAGACTTGGCCGACCATCAAAGCTATCCAATGGAATAAAGTGAATTATCGTTCGAAATATTAAAAAAATCCAAGAACTGAGTGCTCCTAAAGTTGCTGCTGATTTACAAGCATTACATGGAGTAATTGTTAATCCTGAGACTATCAGAAGAGTAATTCGATCTGCTGTATATTACGGTAGAGCAGCCAGGAAAAAATTCTTCGTATGTGAAAAGAATAGAAAACTCAGACTGGCTTTCGCAAAATCCAACATAAATAAGAATTCTGATTACTGGAATTAAGTTATATTTGCTGATGAGAGTAAATTTAATATATTTGGTTCTGACGGTAGAATCTTGGTGTGGAGAAAACCCAGGGAAGAATTTCGCAAAACAGAACTTGGTGCCAACAGTAAAACATGGTGGAGGAGGAGTTATGGTATGGGGGTGTATGTCGTCCGCTGGAGGTGTAATCTTGTTTTTATTGACAGTATAATGGATCAGTACAAGTATATTGACATTTTAAATCAAAATTTGAAATCTTCAGCACGAAAATTGAACCTTCATAACGATTTTAAATTCTACCAGGACAATGACCCCAAGCACATTGCTTTGAACGTTAGACTCTGGCTGCTGTATAAAAAAACACAACCACAATCTCCAAACTTAAATCCCATAGAGAATATTTGGCAAGAATTGGAATGAGAATTCGAAAAAAAAAAAAAAAAAAAAAAAAAAAAAAAAAAAAAATTAGTCGAATCCATTCCAAGAAGATTAAATCATGTTTTAAAAGTAAAAGGAAATCCATCAAAATATTAAAACCTTATGAAAAGTAAAATTTTTGGATAAATATTTGATGGAAAAGTAAGTGTCCCATCACCTATGTGAGCGATTTTTTGCTCCGTTCTAAACAATTATATTTTTATTAAATTAATATTTTAATATTTTGAGAAAAATGTATGTTATGTAATAATTGTTACTAAATTTAAGTATGAAACACACCCACAAAAAATTTTTACATGTTTTCTTAGTTTATTTTACTACAGTTTCCTTTTGTAAAGCACAAGTGTCCCATCATTTTTGTGAGACACTGTATGAAAATATGAATAGAAAAATAAAAAATAAAAAGAGGAATTAGTTCTTAAAATATGTAAACCTAGAGCAACAAAGTTTTGAAATGAAAGAAACTCCTGTTTAGCAGAAAAATACTGTTGCTATGCTAATTAATGAATTTAGATGAACTACAACTTTTAAACTGATTAATATTAATAAAATTAATTAATATTTAATTGTTATTTTATAAATATTTCTTAATTTTTATTAATTATTATAGTAGTTATTATATTTTTATTAATATTAATTCGAATTCGATTTATTTTGGCTTGCTTAATATGCTGAAGTATGAATAAATATTTATGATTAAAAAAATCTGCTTTGGTATTTGATGGAATTGTACTTTTCACATAGAAATAATACCCAATCACAGGCATTATACTGAAACCTGAATAATAGCGTTACAATTTTTATTGTATTCATTCATTTATTTCATCATCTTTTGGTGCCGATTTCGAGAAACGCTACAACAAATCTTCACTTACAAATCAGCATGAAACAATCAGAATATCAAGAGTATTATTCTATTTGAATAAAAAGTGATATCTGGAATTCTTTTATTGTATAACAGCTGTTACTCATAGATCCGTTTGAACAAACGAACTCACTCTTCTTGCAAATCATTTCATCAGGCATTTTCCTAATCATGTTCTAGCATGGATAGTTAAGATACGCAATCAAAAACTCAGTAAATACAACAGTTCCAAACATGATTAATTCTCTACAAAGCCTTTTACTCGTTTTCCCTTACGTAGGGAAAAAGGGAGAAAGTGAGAACGTAAACATAAATTAAAGAAACACAAATGACGTCACTGACCATGTGCTATTGGTTATTCCCCATTGGATGACGAAATTTCCATGTGGATACACTGACTGTTGTTAATGCACGTTATCTGAGCATGTAGCTCCAGTATTGGATAAGCTCCACATGTCCAAATTTGAAGTAATAGGCTGTAGCGCGTTACGACGGGTTGAGAAAACGTTGTGCAATGTGAAATCATCTATAAATGCAAAAAATCTTGGAACTGAATTTAATTATTAGTACAGCAACAATCGGATTATCATCATCAGTAATACGGCTAGGAAGGTAAAATCTTTTTAATCTTCTAAAAATCAGTCTAAACTGCAAATTTTTGCTAATTTTACTTTCGTTGCTTATCTGTTATCATCAAATGTTTGTAAATGCATTAGAATCATATCTTATACTCATTACAAGTATTTTTTAAACCTGTGTTCAACTGAAAAAGAACCTTTTATCAAATTGTAATGAATAATTTATTGCATAATTTAACCAATGTTCCTGTATATGTTCAACCTATGTTTATGGATTTAAACCTATGTTCAACTGAAAAAGAAACTTTTATCAAATTGTAATGAATAATTTATTGCATAATTTGTTTACTGACTATGTTCTGATATTATTTTATATCTTTACTGAAAATGTTCTAATATATCTGTAAATAATATTTAATTTACTATTTATCCACTTACATTTGCAGTTAGTAATTAATTTTGCGATATTTTTATCTTTTCCCTTATTAGCTTTTACTTAGTTTATTATACATTTATTTTAAAATTTCAAATTTATTGTTTATTTTTAATAACAAAATTATTGAGAGTTTCACTTCTTGATATATTAAATAATTAATACTTACATTTATTATTCTATTACTTAGCAAAATTAAATTATTTGAATATATACGTACTTTTTGATATTTAAAAGTTAGCAATGAAAAAAGATAAAATGCATCTTGAGTTTAATGAGATAAAAGTGGTAGAAGAATTACTCATTTATAGGTTATCTAATTAAATACGTTCATTGATTACGTTTAGGGATTTCATTTTGAAATATTATTTATCTCTATGAATTAAATTTTGTTAGAAAACAGTCTAATAAATTTCAGTTTGAAAACTGTTCAAAAATTAAAAAGAAAAGAGCGAAAGAAAGAAACTTGGCAAGTTAAAGAATAAATTGTAACTGAATTCATATTTTCTGTTGATTGTTTTAGAATCCAATATCATAAAATCGTGTTTTAAATCTTGATTGTTAAATTGCTTTCATGAAGTGATAAGATAAATATAATGCTATATTTGTTTGAAAAAAATGACATAATAAATATTACATTATTTTTATTTGACACTTTAAAAGCGTATTTTTGGTTTCTCTTAGCTGCGTCTGAAACCTTTCTATTTTTAATTATTTCTTCGAAAAAAATTACATTCAGTTTTTATGGTACTGTAAATCAGTAATACTGCTTTTGTATTTCCCGGCCTTAATATGTTTCTTTCATCTCACCACAACTTACTCATTAAAAAAAAACTCCTTCCAACCTAAGTACTGAAAGTTAGGATGTTAAGTGCGTATAAATTCAGTTATCACCTGAATGTCTCAAAATTACCCTTTTTACTTCTCTCTACGAAAAAAAGGAAGTACTGTAATCACGAAAAATTCCGGATATCACATTTTAACGAAAATATCCGTTTTGACTGTATCTAATACAATTTAACGATGTTTTTCTGTTACATCTGTGCGTAAGAACAGAATAAAAGACTTTTTCCCCACACGATTTACAAACCTGATTTAAAATGGATTTAGAAGAGATTTTTTTTCGTGACGTCTGTACGTATATATCTCGCATAACTCAAAAACAAGTAGCCTGAGAACGTTCAAATTTTGTATATAGGACTACTGTAACATGTAGTTGTGCACCTTCCCTTTTTGGTTGCACTCAGCCACACCAAAATTATGTATATATATATATATATATATATAATATATTAAACAAATAAAATTTAATTTTTAACAAACACGTATAAAATTAAAAAAAAAAAAAAATTTAAATCCAAAAAAAAAAAACAAAAAAAAAAAAAAAAAAAAAAAAAAAAACTAAAATAATTTTTTAAAAGATATATATATACCCACTCTGTTACTCGGCTCAGTGAGCTCAGTTTTTTTTATTCTCATATGTTGGTAAATTGTGCATTTTTTGCTTTAAAAATAATTGAATTATGTTGTTCTTATCGGTTAAAGATTTTTTCCCTTTAGTTAATGTGCATGCAATAGATGTAGAATTATCAACAATTTAAAAGTTGTTTTAAGTGCAGCTAAGCATTTTTTTTAACTCATAGCAGCTATATTTGTTACATTTGAAGTTTAGCAGATTAGTGAACTGAGTCAGTTTCTGCACCTTCAACGTCTTTTTGCGGAGTGGGACCAAAAGGAAGCTTTTAATTTTGTGTACCGAACAATCTGCCTTTTTGTCCGCTGCCCGAATTGCGTAGAAACTAATTTTAATTGTTAAAAAAAAAAAAAAAAAAAAAAAAAAAAAAAAAAAAAACCTGACTGTATTTGGTATTTTACGTTTTTGTATATATTAATTTTTAATGAAGATATTTTGAGGATTTATGTATTTTTGCCCTGCAACGAAGTGAGAACTGAATTAATTGAAAGAGAAATCTACCTCTAATGAAATTCGAGGAAGTAAGTTTAAATGAAATGCAGCAAAAAATGCGTATAATTTAGTATTCCGTACAAGGAAGTCATGTGGTGTCCGCTTCAGATTTTTTTAATATAAGTACCCATAACTTCGAATTTTTTTTTTTTTTTTTTCTTCCAAATTTCCATTATTGTCCTTTGAAAAATCGAAAACTATAAAACCGTAAATCGTGGTTAACTGTAAAACACTGTTCTTTTCTTTTTACTACATCGTTTCTAAAGTGTGAGAAAACGTATGTGGTTTGGTAACGGCAATGTTTTCTCCTTTAAGAATTAATATATATTTTTGGAAAATATATGAAATACAACGTCAATTCTAGTAAGGAATTTTCGTTGGTATTATTATTTCCTGATCTTGTACAAATTTCGAGTGGTAGGATTACATTCTTCTTGTCGCTGATTTATAAAACAAAGGCTGTTAGCCCGCCAGTTTTTCAGTAACGTCTCAATAACTTTGTAGGCTTTCTTACACATTTTGTCTAAGATGAACGTCGAGAAACCTAATGAACTATGTAGCGACTTCTCGCTAAGTTCAAACAACTAAAGACGTAGACTCGAGAAGGATTAAAATACCCTTTATTTCACTCAAATAAGAATAACAGTGGGCTCCTTCTCGGGCTTACAGCAAGCCTCTACTCGGGTTTTAACTCAGAATACGAAGTAAGAAACTAAACGAGACGTAGCCGAAGCTAAATACCATTGTCTAACGTAGTTGTCCCTTAAATTAAAATAGCCGGCGAATATCAGTAGGCCCGTAACATACGGTCGAGTGTAAAAGCTTCAAGAGTTCCTTAGTCCGAAGGCAAACGTGCTACCAAGAATTCCTAACACACTCTCTCTCTCTCTTGAAGTAAGGGCGAACCTTCCTTAAGCAGTTCTAACTCATTTGCATTCAAAGCGATTTTAAACACTCATTCTGGTAGGGAGGTTAAGTTGAAACAAGAACTGATCGGAAAGACTTAGAAATTAAATTAACTGTTATAAAATTAAAATATACCTTACAACTTGGTATAAGTTTAACCGTCTCATAGAAATATGCTTCAATGTTTCATAATATGACTGTTTTAGTATATCGGAACAATTTAATTCTTTGAGACTGCAGGTGCTCGATGAAAATTCGATATAGACTGTTAATTCTAAACATTCCATATCATATATCGTTATTTTTAATGTGTATTTAACGATATTATACAAAATATGGCAGTTACAAGTAGCTTTTATTAAATTAGTGTTAATTTTTTTTTCATTTCGTAAACCGAAGATTTACATCCAAAACTCACCAGTGCGTTATTAATTCCGAATGCGGTAATATTTTCAATTGCTGATTTTATAACATTAAAAATTTCTTAAAAAGTTTCGCTCCACATTTGTTTAAAATCTATTAAAGCATGCACACTCGTCGTTAATCACATTAAAATAACGAACTGCGATCGGCAATGATTTTTGACTACCTGTATTAGAAGCATCTGTGGCAACATTAAATGGTAAATGCTTCGCAGCGGATACAAGTAATTCAAGAGAATAGGAAACTAATATGTTTTGCACAGCAGATTCACTTTTTTGTGCGTCCAACGTCATATATTTTTGCAAATCATCTAGTTAGGAAATATGGAATTGCTGACTTTTACACTGTCGAGTCACAAAACAAGCTTTTTTTTTTTTTTTTTTTTTTTTTTCCCCAAGCAAGAGACGTGAAAAATGTGCAATGCCCTCGCCGGGACTTGAGCCCTGGATCTATCGAATGCGCTTCGAGTATGCTTCCAAATACACCACGAAGGCATGCAGAAAGAAGAGGAAAAATACCTTATACCACTTATACCACCAAGATAAACTTTTGTCTATTCTGCGACTGTTGCCTGATCATGAAGTTTTGAATTCTTCGATTGAAAAAATTTCTTTATACTGAAGCTATGGAGCAAGTTAAAATACTCGTTGCTTATGAGAATTTGCTTTCACCTGAGATTTGATAACTTTCACACCATTCCGCTTCACATTTATGTAATGCTGCAAACAGAACATCTAGCCATTTCATTACATTCTCTAAAAGGTTTTAACCATTTTTTAAAAATTCGTTTTCCGCCAACCAGTCTTCATTAAATTTCCATGTTTGCTTCCTCTTTTTTTAGGTTTTTATCTTGTTGATTTGTCATATTTTGCCCTCTAAAACAGCAAAAAAATATTCAGTTAATTAATTTTTAAATTAATACACTTGTAATTAATTAATTTTAATTTTAATAAAATAATTAGTTTGCGTATGCTTTATCAAAAAATAAATAATTAAAAACTATAATTACCTCAGTTAAACAAAAGGTTTAAACACAGCAAGACAAAAATTATGAATTTTACCACTTTAATTGTTTATTTAATTTGTATATTTATTGTATATAAAATAATATGCGTACATATACAAGAACTTGTTTACTTACCGTTAATAATTGAATTAGAAATCATAACTTATAAACTGAAACTATCACATTCGCTTTCCAGTATTTTCAGATTAGAATTCAGAATTACATTTTCTGTGACTCCTTGCTGTAATTTCAATAAAATAGCACTGAATGCATACTTTTCGAATTTTTCCACTATCTCTACAAAAGCGTTCGGAGATGGCGAATATCTTTGTTCAAAACCTTCTAAAATCCAAACGGTCATCAGAAGTTTGAACATTTTTCAGTTATTGAAACATTTTCATACGCATAAAGTTTACAGACGCGTTTCTTGAAATGCTAACAATCAAAATTTAGAATAAAGAGACGGTTAAAGTCATAAGTAGACAGCTCAGAGAAGAAAACGATAACGATAACTGGCCTTGAGGTATATCTGAAGTTACATTCATCATCCGTTAAAATAAAACACTCGAAAATATTTTTAGCACAGAAGGGCTATTAATTTCGTTTTGGCATTTTGTGGCGTTTCACTTTTCAAATTATTGCCACCCGAATATTATCGCCTTATATTATATTTAAAGAAATTAAATAATGAAGAATCTGCATAGATGTATGTATATTTCTCGCATTGTGATAAAACGACGGTACCTAGAGCCATCAAATTTTGAATAACGTACATTTACACCCGAATATGGACATCTGGAAGCAACAATTTGGAATTTAATTTATTATCAATTTCATATTTTGTAAAGCATTTAAGAGTTTCTGATTAAGAGACTCAACGATTTCAAAGCCAGCAATGGCAACAATATACGGGGAGAAAAAAACATTTTTATCTCCAGCGCGCGGAGCTGTGCATGGGAAATTCTAAAGATATGCTCTTTTAAAATTATTTTGTGATTAATTTGCGGTTGAATTGAATTTTATGGTTTAATTGCGAAGAACATGATATTTAATATTAAATAAAGGTCTCTAAAAGTTAAAAAAAGCCCATTGCGCGCAATATAAAATTTGAAAACTTACCATATCATATATCATTATTTTTAATACATATTTTTTTAATTAAATAGTTAAATTCCTTTGTCTAAAAACCGAATAAATATATATATGTGTATGTGTATAAGATAAAAAATGCGTAACTAAGCTTTATAATTTAATTTAGTACTAGCTTCTTAATTCCTCATTTTTAATTTGGGTATTTCCTCTCGGTATTCTCAAAGTAAATTACCTCACTTCGCCATTTCTAGATTTCTTCTATGCCACAGAGCTTGCGTAAAGCTGATGATGTAACTTATTCGAAACTTGAACTCAAAATTTTGAGAACTGAAACTTTTCTAACCTAAACCAAAACCTTTATCTTGGTAAGCTTCCATATTGAATAAATGCGCACTTAAGCTTCTTTGTGTGTACTGCTTGGACGCAATTTCTTTGCTCTCGCAAAGGTATAAAAAGTGTAAAGGTTCTGGAAATAGGCAGTGAACAATTGCACTTGGCACGATTAGAGTGCCAAGTGAATTGCGATCACAAATATCAGTTTAAATAAAAATGCAATTTAATCCGCCTTGAATGCTTCGTTTCCTAGTCATTAAGGATGTAATTTTCTACGCAATCAGAATTCTTCCTCTTCAGTATGTCATCTACGTTCTACGCCTACAGGTACGTTTCAGGGTTCCTACATCAACATGGCTAAATTTGTTTTCAATACATATTATGTATGTAATAATAAAATTCCATAGTCAAAATTACACTTAAATTTCTAATTGTATGTTCTTTTTCATTTTTAATGGCGATTGTCTCTTACTTGAAAGTACGTGGAATTAAATCCACAGCCCCGTAGTCAAGTTGTTTTCCCCTACTTTTCTACACGTACAGTTATAGAATGTTCTGGAAATATTTAAAGCGAACTGGATTGGCTGACGCCATTTTCTTGGAAGCTCCGCCTTTCCAGAGGCTATAAAAGGACTCGTAAAGGAATATTGGGGGCTTTTTCTTAAATGTCACGATGCTGTAAACTTCATACAAAAAGTTATTAGTAATTCTTTTTATTTACCCCGAATATCTGATTATGTAACTGCTATTTCTCCTGAATAATAATAAATGAATCCTGTTTTTTTAAACTTATCGTCTGATAATTTAAGCTACGACTACATTTATGATTCTTCACCAATCTTTTATTCTGGACAAAAGCTGGTACATCACATATATATATAAATTTTGAAATTAATGTGAGCTAAATTGTGAAACACTTTCATCCTGCATTTAATTTTTACATCTTTACTGTAAAAATATTTTAGTTTGTATACTGTAACGACAAAAAAGCACACGAATTATTACGTGTTGATTTCTCGAACAAAATGTGCTTTGAACAACATGTAACATATTCGTTCTAACGCCGAAATGAAGAATAGCGTAAATTTTTATTTTTGTACGATTTTTATTTATTAATTTTTCTTATATATCTTTGTTAAAATGCAGTGCACTGCATTTTAACAAACTATTATGCATTTTAACTATTTTAATAAGAATAAAAGAAGCTCGAATTATTAGTCCAAAGGGGCTTTGTCCATAATTTTTATCTCACATATATATATGTATACGTAGGACCAAAATAAACTTCCTTATTATTAGTTTTGCTAAAATTTGAAAAACATTTTAGTTGTGGTGCATTTATTTAGAAAACAAATAAGCAAATTAATTGAATTTTTTCCTCAATCAATCGCGTTTGAGGAAAAAGAAGCTAATATGGAATTAGCTAAAACTAAAATATATAAGCAAGTAGTGAAAGTATCAAAATCTAATTTCTAAGTGCAGAATCAAAAGAAAAAGAGATTATAATATATTATATATATTATGTGTAACATATATAATTATTTAACATTTAAGTGCTTGCAAAGCGTTTAAATTTTTCTGCCAGATTAAAACTGTAACTAACTAATAAGAAGATAATTATTGACGAATTAGTACATTTCGTCCAACAAATACTTTTTCTCTTATCTATTAACATTGCAGAGACATTAGTTTTTTTTTTTTTTTTTTTTTTTTTTTTTTTTTTTGAAGCAAGCAAGATGAAAAATTAGCAACGCCTTCGCAGGGAATCGAACCGCGGACCTCTCAATTACGCGCTGAGTGTTCAGACCACTACACCACGAAGGCTCGCTAAGAACGTGGGAGAAATACCTTATAACATGCATTAAAGAAATTTCCATTATCCTTTATTTCATTAATTGAAAATTCGCATTATCCGTGTTTTGGGGAAAATTTAATATTTCCTTTAAATTCAAGCGGAAATTTAACATTTCCTTTGATTTCATAAGTTCCTTTTCTATTTAGAAGGTATTGCTCTTATCAAAAAAACTAGCTATTCATATCTATATAAAATTAAAAACCTAACTGTTCATACCTATATAAAATTCTTGGTTCTTCTTCGAGCTATGAACTTATTCAGAGGCATAATAACGAAGTCCTAATGCTTTCATGAAAGATCTTTAATAATCATCTTTAAATATAATTCGTGAAATAAACACAACACTGCAATGCTTCTGACAAGACAATCGAACCTGCTGTTCCAGAATTTCAAGTATACTTTTCATATATACAACAGCATTATACTCGTAGTTAGTGATAGAAAAATATCCACATGACTTCCTTGTACAGCCTATTAAATTATACACATTTTTGCTACACTTTATTTAAACTTATTTCCTCGTGTTTGATTGGAGATATATTTCTCATTCAATGAATCCAATTCTCACTTCGCGGCGAGACAAATATGCATAAAAACTCAAAACAACTTCATTACAAACTGTAAAATGCAGAAAAACCTAAAACACCAAATACAGTTAAAAAAAACTTACAATTAAAATTATAAAGTTATATAAATCAAAATTCTAAATTTAATTTGCAATAGTTCTTTAATTCTGTTTTTTAATTTAATTGTTTTTCCTTTCTGTCCTAGAAATGTAACTGCTTATAAGCATTAAACTGCATCATTTCAAAATTAATTCGTGTTGTATGATTTTTGCATAACACTCCCGTCACAAGATGCTTGCATAACCTCTTCCACCAATAATGACTTCAAATTTAGGTGCTGAAACCTATTATTAACCAATGGGGACAAATATCAACCGAAACTAAATCATTCTGCCCCAGATTTTCATCTTATACACGTCGTATTCCTCCTCTTACTTACTCTTTACGAACATGTTGCTGACAAATGAACATAAACTGACTTCTCGTTCATCAAGTGCGTCATCATTATGATGTAGAAAAGGCATCAATAAGTGGTAGTTGATTGTAAGAGCGTAAATCAGCGTTGATGAACAGAGATAACAGGAGTCGTCGATACCGAGTGAAAATATTTTGTTTTCTGAAAACCACATTCTTAACTTGAATTACACTTCTTAATGGGTGCAATCAGCTTCTGATCCCATTAATGCCTTTTTTACATCGTTATGCATCCAAAATTAACGTCACAAACGTCTAGTAATATGAAGACTCGAGCTAGCTTTCCAACGAGGTAGCAGAAAATCTTTTAGAGAATCTCATTTTACATTTTGGCACTTTTCTTATATAGTTCTAGATGTTTCAAATTACTGATGGATATTTTTCTCTAGTATAGTAATGCTTAAATTAGCATATCACCTACGCTTAATACTGTTCTGTAGTCTGATTTATGTATATCTGGGGAAATTTAATTTATTTTTTCTCTTTCCAGTAGGTCACTGAGAACATCCATGGCTCCATCTCATATTTTTCAAGATCCTTGCTTTTGGCAACATTTTCAGCGTCAAGTTAAATCAAAGGCTTGGAAATGCAATTTTTCGCCTGAGATTTTAATTGAAAATATAGATAAAGACTCAGCTCTTTACAAAGATGACACCATCCTGAAGAAAAGAAGGCAAGGACTCCAAAAATGGATTAAGAATGACACTCAGTGGATAAAAGTCATCCTTGGAACTTGCAAAGAAATAGCTAATGGAGAATTTGGTCACTATTCTCAAACATTAAAGAAATTTCATATTTTGGATGCTTTCAGGGATTTTGTAGATCACCTTAATTGGTTTTATATAGTCGCAGCAATAATGGCTGATAAAGGTCAAGAAGTACATCCAATTAGCCAGAACTCTTCCGAAGTACATGATATTGACAAATTAGACCCGATAATGCTGATTGGCTATTCAGAAAAATTCGAAGATGATGCAGCTACTTCTGTTTGGAATACATGTGTCTACAGGCATGTACATTTTAACCCACATCATCAGGCTCATAGTTTATGGCATGAAGAATCCCAGGAGAAAGAGACGCAAGTTTTAAGAACTGAAGCACTTCGCGAAATGGTTTGTGATAAAGTCTCCAGGAACGTTCAAAAGACTCTTATTGGCGAAATCAGTGATAAAATGTGGAAAGTAGATTTAACATTTTTCAACGGATTACCACAAGAATGGATAGATTTAGCAGTGAAAATGATGGATAATCTGTCATAAAAATGTTCTTTGCCTGATGTGTTGTAAAATGTAATTAAGTGATTTCTTTTTAGATATGTCTGAAGTCTGAAGCCACTATCAGTGTTTTAAATACAGCAATACACATTTGTCTCAGGTCCGCAATATATAAAATATAACAAAATATGACATACATGTTGTATAATATATATAATATTATATATATATATTTAACAAAAATATGAAATCAGTTCAGAATAACTGCCAAAATACAAATAAAGTATATAATTGAATTATTATGTTTTTATTAATGTTTATACGAAAGTCTTCATTTATTTAATTAAAGATTTCGATTTTCTTTCATTATTTCCGTTTGCTCATATTAGAATATTTTTAATTTATAATCGCTTGTAACTTGTATTAAAGATATGATTTGACTTCGATATTCTTGTTAAATGCAACAATTTGTTTTGCTTGTGTATCAGAATGTCCTCATAAAAGAACTAGATGATGTAATAATGTCATTAAATTTACTCTAAAGTATTGAAGGAAATAAACTTAGATATTTTAAAATAAATGCTCTTGTGTATTTAAATAATCTGACTAATATTCTACGTGTCTGAACCGTTCGACTGCTACGCGGCGCAAAAGCGCTGCGTTCATTTGTCTCGAAAACCAAGCGCTGCGAGTTTCAGTGTGTCTTTATTGCTTTATAATACGAAAGGAATTATTAAAATTGATTGATATTTGTCTAAATGAGAGTATTTTATTTGACAACATCAAGTCAAAATATGTCCGCAGTTTTCGTGCGTTCTTGCAAGAATTGCTTAGCAGTCAAACGGTTAAAACATGTTTTCGTGCATTGTTTAACTATTGTCAATAAATGCAATAAATTTATTTTTATATTCTGGTTTTATAGATTTTAATTTATAATGAATGTAACTAACGCAGCGTAATGTTAATTATTGGGTTCTTGCAAGTAAAACAAACGAATTCAGGGATGCTTCACAAAGTGCACATAAGCAAGAAGTATCAAGCCTGTGATCAAAGTAAATCACCAATATGCTGCTGCCAGTGTTTAGATAAACTATCTATATCGTTCATGAAAAATTTAACATCTGCAGGGGTCATTTATTTTCAAACACGTTTGGTAGATAAAACATTAGATGAGTCGTCATTAGTGAACCATTTCATCGGTTGTCTGACAGCTAGTGAAATATTGTAATAGAACTGAAGAGAATGGGGCAATAATTCCTTAACCCAAATGATGTACCTTCGGCATCTTTTCGGTGCAAGGTGTCCTATCAAGCAACGAAATATATCTTCCATTGACCAGTATAGGCTATTGAATGTTCAATTCTTGATGCGTTCTGAATATATCTGCCAAATATAAAACAATCTTTTGCCATAGTCTACCCATGGAAAACAAATGAATGATGGATGATGAAAGACCGCCAAGACCATTACCTCCTTTGAATGTATTATGGCAATTCGAATTAACGACTTTAGAAACCTTCCTGGAGCTTCCTTTATCTCCAAATTTCAAGAAAAATGTCAGCGACTGGCGCATAAATTTCAGTTTACCAACTATAATACGTAATAAGCAAGAAAACTGCTTTTTGATTTTAAAAAACCAGCATATTACAAGTTATGTTTGCCTTGTTTTGATGGCTGACTGACACGGCATCCACATATGAAGTTTTCTGACCTTCTCATTGCTAGACAGGAAGTTATAGTTAAATAATATACAACAGCTACCCCGATTCTCCCATAATCTTGATCTGGCTTCTTTGAGCAGATTCACAATCACGGATTCATTCTATGGATCTTTCGATCCAAATATTATGAAATAAAGTGGATTGTTTCTTTCGACAGCAGTTCTGCATAAAGGATTTATTAAAATTTATCTAATTTATGGAGAAAATTTGTCCTCAAATGACTTGTTTTCAAGAGTGACTCTTATTTTTGTGATTTCCACTACTATTTGTTCGCTGAAGGTAACAGCTGCTATTATTTACTTTATCCGTTGTTTGTCCATATCTCGATTTAGTCTGCATAAACTACAGTTCTCGCTTTCTATTCAGCGAACTGAATTCACTGTACGTTTCCCTGGGCATTTCATGTGAAACAATGTAATGCTAAATACGCATTACTACCTTTAGATATCTTACAACAAATTTTATGGAGTCATTATAATTATTTACAAATACTTTACTTAAATTCTTCCACTCGATGATTATCTAACATAATGCACTTTTATTTTTCCAATTTTTATTTGCATATAGTTTCATGAAAGAATTTGCTACTCGTTTTAAAGTCATTTATTACAGTATAACTATAATTTTTTTAAAGTTCGAATTGTAAGCACTTTTGTTTATTTAAAGCAGATATTAAAGAAGAAATATTTATAAATTTGATTAATTGTTAGTACGCAAAGAAGATTAGATAATATACCTAGTTCAATCGAGTATACTAGCCTTTACTAAAAATATATTTTTATGAAACTTTAGTGTGTAACCATAAAACGCAGAAGAAATATATACATTGCAAACAATAGAAAGATTTTAGATGCTTCCAAGCCATCCTCAGGATTTGATAATCCCAGATAATTTGAAATCCCACAGACAGAGGCCATCTATGTTTTAAAGTCATAACGCAAAATTGTAGATATTCGGATCACTTATTTGAAATGTTTTAAAAGATGTTGATAATAAAAGCATTTGTTTCTCAACCCTGACTGAACGGCTCACATGCTATTTTACTTTCAAGCCATTAAGTCCATTTTGTGGGAAGTTATCTACTGCTCAACCGACTATAGCCCAAAGGCAGGATCGGCAAGCAAGACGATCGGACATTTCTTTCGGTGTATTACAGTCAAAAGTCGTTAATTCGGACACCCATAATCCGGAATGATCTATAATTCGCACCTCAAAGCTAAAAACTTTCTGCGCATGCGCCGCGTTGGCACATGCGCACAGGCGTTTTACGCGTGTGCGTAAGACCTTGACTACTGCGCATATGCGTGTTCGCAAGTGCAGAATACGTTTTCGCCTGCGCGTTTAATGTATAACGGACGGTGTAAGCTAAAATTATCTAATTACCTATTTCAGTTAATGTTAATGATTGCGTTGTTCCTTAATCTTCGAATTGGATTCCGCTTATTATTTTTTGCAGACTGTAAGAGCAATTTTATAAAAGTAAACTTGAACTTTCGATTATGTCAAATAGAATTTCCGATGCTGGAACTTCCAAAGGATCTACAAAACGAAAGTATGTTTCGATGTCCAACAAACAAAAAGTGGAATTGCTGCAAAAAATGGATAAATACATGAAGAATGTGACAGAGAGGTTAGTGAAAACGAAAAAATTTCGATTGACAAGTTAGTCGGTATTCTCGGCACAGCAATTAACGGGACTTGAACAGCGGAACTTTGTAACTGAACAAGAAATTATGTCTGTTTATAGAATTAAAGAGACAGTATTATCACATAAAATGAAGCAACTTAAACAACTTACATTGAAAGAAATGTTTAATAAAGTAAACAAATAAATATTAAGGTTTTTTTTTTTTTTTTTTTTTTTTAAATTTTGATACCCTTTAGATCATAATTGTTCTTTATTTCATAAATTACGGTTTCATGTTTTTAATTTTAGAATTTCTGCATGCCATCTTACGAGATTTAAACTGATGATCTATAATCCGTAAAAATCTATAATCCCGAATCGCCGAAGTCCCGACGAGTCCGGATTAACGACTTTTGACTGTAGTAGAATTACAATGATAGTTAGCAGATGCAATTCCTCTTATTCCTCTTGCGTGAAATTGGAGCCTATAGACACTAGAATTTTACAAATCTCGAAAACAGAATTTTTCAGATATTTATAATGATGTTTTAACAGTTGTAGTTCCGGAAGACAAAATTTGAAGCTGTGTCTTTACATATGAATTTTGAACAGACTTGGAATGGTGATATTAGCTATTACAGCTATTGTAGAATTGGTGTTTACAGTCATTAATGTTTACTGTCTTTTCAGTTTTGAAAGGTGTAACAACTCTTTAGTTATCATTTATGTATTTAATTATCTGTATCTCTCTAATAATAATAATTGCCATAATCTCTCCATAATGGCCTGGAAGCAACTTGCACCATTTTTTGTTCATTTCTTGCAGATGGTGTTGCCAGATATAGCCTTGTCATCATCCAAACTATTTTACTGTACTTGTGTAAAAGGATTTCCATGGGGAAATTTTTGCATCTAAGAAGGCTCTTTTGTACACACTCTTTCTCTTTTTAAATATGACACTTCTTTTAACGCGTTTTTCTGGGTCTTGACATGACTGAAAACGCCTTCTTACTTTTAACAGTACTTGACATTTTTGACGATTGATTGCCAGAGAAGTGTTTCACCAGTTGCATTGAGGTATGGTTTTTAGCTCTTTTAAGTTTGTATGCTAGTTTACAGCCGTCTTTGATGGTATCTGTGCGTTTGTCAGTGGCACTATCAAAGTCCTACGGAGCTTCAGTGGAATCAATCTCTTCTTAGAGTTTTGTGACATTACTGAGGCGGTGTTTATGCAGGATGGAGAGACTACCATATTTTGTTGTGAATCTGATTTTAGTGATAATATCATAGATTTGGTATATTGAATAGGTAATGTAGTTTTGATCCCTCAAGGAGGTATTCTGTTCTACTATCCAATCCTAGATTCTGTTAGCTAGATCTTGAGAGGCTAGTGGGACAAAAGATCCCTCAGTTTACATTTGACATCACAAGTTACAGAAATTGCTTAAATCTGTTCTACGCATGCGCCAAAATTTTCTCAAAGCAATCTGTTGGACTAAAGCAATCTGTTGGATCATATTACCAAAACTTCATAGTGGTTATATATAATCACTGAAAAACTGCGAGCCGACCTTGATCAGGAAGGCGAGGAGGGAGTTTCTTCTAGCGAGAAGAGGAATACAAAGAATACATGCCAACTTTCAAACTATCAAGACTGTTCTGAAGAAATTCATTTAATTAGAAGTGGGAACACTTCCAGGTGATACCAACTAGGATCTTACAGGATGCTGATAAGAAGAGAGTGGTTATTCCATTCAACAACAATGCCATGCACTACTTCGAGACCATATGGAAGAAGAACACCATTTAGATAACTTCTAAACTATTTTACATAACTTCATGAAACTTGAACTTACAAAAAATTCAAAGGCCGATGAAAAAGTAAAGGTCAACATGACAGCTGGATCTTTAACCTTCCATGGAAGACTAAGACTAAATTGAACTAAAAATGGTGCTGTTGTTATTGAGACTTGCCTGTAATTGAGATTATTATTATAGTATTTATGTTGTTATTGAGACTTGTCTTACTTGTCTAAGGGTGTCTTGAAAGAAAGTGTCTTGCTTTATGTAGCGATTATTTTCCCATACATTATCTAATTATACATATGTTACCAACAAAGTATGAAATCCGGCATTCTATAAAATACCTAGGCATTCTATATAATGTCTAAAACTAGCGGCAATGTATGAAACGATTCATATTTCACACATTTCCTAGGCATTCTATAGAATGCCAAATGACAAACCCGCAAAGTATGAAATACATTTCCGATTCATTTCGAAGAACCGAAACTACTTATCAGAAGTTAATAAATGATGGGAAAAAGCCAAAATGACTACTAAAAAGGAACCACGGGACTACTGGCTGCTTAATATCTAGGATGTGATGTTTGTGGAAAACAAAAGTGCATTCATTTACTCTGTTAAAGAAAGTGTCGGTACTATACAGCATTACGTCAAGGACGTTGTGTTATTTTCGGTATTTCATGAAAACTCATATGAGTACTGGACACAGATGTGACAGAATGTTGAAAGAATGTTCAACAAAATACAAAAACATTACAC